TGAAGCTCACCGATCTCGATGATAGAAGGATCGCTTGGAAAATCACGGAACACCATCTGTAGCGTATCGCAAGGGCTACAATCTCAGATACTAACATTGTCTACGAGGGGGGTCAGCGGACTTAATTTGCGATCAAAGTTTCGTACTGGAGTTAGACCCTTGAAAACTGAGATATGCAGGCGTTTCCTGGATTTTTTAGAGGTAACCTGCCAAGCCCCCCGCGGCCTAGGACTTTATGGTGGAACGGCGATGTAATGCTTGATAGCCGTGTCGCTCCCTGCCCGTCGTTGCGACTATGGTCGATGTGACCGAAATAAGAGGGTAAGAACCCGATTTGAAAACGATTGTCCTCCGTCCAGCCGAGGGGAGGGTGTGGACGTGATGAAGCTGCAGTTTGCTATCAACTGCTGTGACAAGGGGTCCAACTCAATCCTTGGAGAGCATCCCGCCCTTGAACAATGGCTTTTTGTAGCTGCCAGATTCTTCGGCCTGGCGTTTTGTGCTGCTTTGATGTGGTGGTGGAGGTTGGCTTCAGTTTGGTGGCAGTCATTGGCATCAATGGCTTCTGTAGCAGAATGTCGACCGGAGGAATGGCGGCATGGCCACCGGAAAGGAGCCGGATCTTCGTCGCGGATCTTTTCGCTGCTACCCTCCTGGTAGTCTTTCATGGTGTTTGCCGCGCAAATTACGGCCTCTGAAGGGAGAGTGATACTTACACAATGGTCGCGGAAGCAGTCGGAGCTCAGAGTTTTGGAGTTGACATTCCGAGACGTCAAGAGCTGTATCGGCTCGGTTTCGTTGGCTGCCACGGCCCTCAGTCAAATTGAACTTTGCAACAACAGCCGTGTGCCGGATTGACGTTGCCGGCATTCTTCACGGCTGCCAAGTCATAATGATTGAGAAATGTAGAAGGGTAGCGATGGAACGGCGTGGTTCGAGAGTGTCATCCACAACGCTTTTGTTGCAAGCGTCAGCGACTGTGTGCATGAGGAGCGCTTACATAGCCGAAGAATGGGTGATGACTTCGCGTTTTTACTGTCACCACGCGAAGCCAGCCGACCACAGCATGCTTAAGTGTAGCTGGATAAGACCCATCCCGAACGAAAACAGCCGTGTCGATTAGGTCCTTTCCAGTTGAGTCAGCACTTTCCGGCGTTATGATACAACCAGGGTCTCCCCCGTTCCGTGAACGAGTAAATTAACCGCCACGGATTCCATTCAGTCAGGCGCCCTTGAGGACGTGTCAGCTCGAGGGGACACCGAATCTCGTTTGGGGCTCGCTGAGGTGGTGAGCGAAATCAGCTTTGTCCTGGGACGGAGGTAATCGGACTAGGTAGCCTCGGCGAGCGAGCTGGAGCACTTCGACAACCATTACACGGAGAGCGCGGAGGCCACCTTTAGCCAGCACAGCGTCCAGCTCATGGCCAAGGTGCGGTGCATTGAGAATATCGTGTGTTTCGAGGCATGGGTTGGGCATGAGCTTGGGCTCGGTGGAACTCTTTGGAAGGAAGAAGAAACGTCAACACTTGGACTCTCTCTATTAATCGATTCCGGTGGTCATTCTTGAGCTAAGGTTTCAGGTGGGCTGACTGCAACGTGTGCGGTTTGCCTCGTTCGTCCACGCTGCTAAATTATCATCGTGATGATGAGGAGCGAGCGCACACGACAAAAGTATCCATTATAGATGTTTCCTTACCCTCCACCACCTTGTCCGAGCATCAAGTCGACATCAAATACTCACACCTAACCTACCTCACCTAACCCGCCTCGGAACTGCCCCGGCGGGTGTCTCAAAGCCTTGTTGACAACAAAACGATGCAAACCTTACTCTTCGTATGTATGTCGTGCCATTATGTTTGTCAAAATTTCCGTACATCAAGCGCGAGACCATGCGCTTGTAGGGGGCACGAACGTTTCTGTGCAACGATTCAGGGACGAAGGAAGTTCGGCATCGCCAGGCAGACCCACGGTGGCGGTTGTTTGCCTGGTGATGGCTCTTCGAGGAGACGCGCTGCAGAGGCTGGGGCTCGAACCAAACGTCAACAGCAGCGTGTCCGGTGATAACCGTGTTTCGCACGATACCAGCCTATTTTTTTTGCTTCTCCTTGGTTTGTTGCTGCTGGTGGCTCTGTTCTGATCGTAGTGCGTCCCCCCCATACAAATATATGCATTTTTTGCACCTCGCCCTCTCAACCACCGCAAACTCGCTCCACTTTCAAGACATGTCACCTGCTCACCTCCCACTAAAGTTCAACGCCCGTCGTCGTTGTTGGGCCTCAAGTCAGCGCTGTAAGCCATCTCCAGCGGGTTCCTGTCCGACGTTAGGCACAAGTTGCTGGCCGCGGAGGTGCTCTGGACACCGGAGGAGCCGTGGGAGGCACTTTCGAAAGAAGACGCCATGGCAGACTTCCTGGATCTCTTGGATCTTGCTTCAACGTGTTAAGTGTTTGAGGGTAAGTTTTGGGGGTAGAACATGAGCATCTTGATGCGGAAACTCCTGTATTTGGCACGCAACATGCGTTCCGCTCTGTCAGGTTGCCACATTAGTCCAAAAGGGCCGCATTCCTTTGCTCTTAGTTTAATACGGACAGCGTGGCAACAAATCCCTGGCACCAACTAGGTATCCTGGCTTCTTTCGAGCCATGCACTTTTTCGTGGTGTGTGTGGATGTTAAGTAGTACGTGGGACGAACCCGGGGCTTGAAGTCTCTTGCCGAACTTGTCTCGGGTGCCGGCGGTGTGTTTTTCATGCGGGCAACGCGACACTCCAGCGTGAGTTGGTCGGTGTTTCTCCGTCGTTGAGACGGGGTGGGTTCGGCTGTGAAGACCGAGAGCGCAAGCGGCTCTCCTGGCTTGGATTGCCGTGCACAGCGACAAACAATCATCACTCGTCGGTGTATTTTTTTTTTCTTGCACGCGCGTTTCTCCCGATATTAAGTTGTTGTGCGGAACCCCTTTGGAAACCCTTTCACTTTTGTGGGCGGGCGGCTCTATCGTAAACCAGCTTTCTGTGGCCGCTCTGTTTTCTCATTCCCAACTATTAATAATAGCTTTGCGGAAATTCACAGGTCTCCTTTGACGGTTCGTTCTTCTTCTCCAAGTGTGTGTGCTTCTGACGCTCTTCCGATGAGGGTTATTGGGGACGCTTGGTTGGTTGCGGGGAAAGTTGGACGCGAGTGGGGGCGGGCCACTGGCAAGATTTGAAAAAGTCAAGATTGATTGTTGTCATTATCATTGCTCTTAAAACTATATAACCAAGAACTTGGAAAATCGTATGCTAGGTGAACTTGAGTCTATGCTGGGGCACATGTGTTCACGCAGAGTGAAAGTACACAGGAATACTGAAAACTAAGAAAAGACTTGGGAAAACTTAGCCTCACTTGATTGCCGAGCACCATCCCACAGACCACCCCACGCTCCCTCCATGACTCCATACGTCGCGACAGGAAGGGAAGGTGGACGAATGGCCAAAGAAGGCGTCTGACAACAGCGACCTGAAAGCGACTTCTTGAGGTCGTATCGCTGCGCAGGTGGCCATATCGAGGAGAGTTCAACGCTATAAGTTACCTCCGAGAAGACAGGCGATTGAAGGAAGAGCAAAGCCAACGGAATACTCTACACCTATAATTTGTGGGTGGATTTTGGATGCATGCACAGTATGGCATCCACATCCATCCGTTATACTCCGTGTTGTTTGATGTCATGTGGTGTATTCGTTTGTTTGCATTTTTCTGCTTGTTGGCATGCATGTCGTGTGTAGCGTTGTGTTGATGTATGAAGTTGTCTTCGTCGGTGTTCACGACATCTGTGAATATCTGTTGTTTTTCACCGTGAGGTTACGAGTCGCCGCAACCCCGTGCGTGCGTTTTAGACTAATTTTTTGTTGGCCATTTTATTTGCGTCGCATCCCTCGGGCCGTGCGGTGACTCCGGACCCTGTGCCGAAAATCGAATTGAATCATATTACGCATAGTCTACCCCTGTGCGATAACTGTGGTATGTGCGGTCCTGAGGAAACGTTGAAGGCGATATTGTCAGGAGATGCTGGTGGAAACAATGGAAACGCCATGTGTTTATGTTGACCGATTCAACGCAACAACAATCATGTGTTTCATTTCCTTCATACAGCACAGCTATTATTATGTAACATGCCAGCGCTGGTTGCAGGGAGGGTTGAAAGTTGCCCCGGAATCGCTGGCTCTCAACTACCCTAGGTTGCGAATCATGTCACCCCTGTGTGGTGACTCCGAACCCTGCGCGGAAATCGAATTAAAGTAGTTAGCCATTTTATTCGCACTGCACCCCTGTGCATGACTCCTGACCGTGCGTTGACTCGCAACCTTAACGGTATTCCGTGCCGGCCCGCTCGTAAGAATGCCATCTCCGTAAGAAATCCAGGCTCATAATTTCGGAATTAAGAAAAGCGCCCAAGAATTGAGCTCATCTGACGGAGAAAGCAATGTACTAGTCTACAGTAACTAGAAACACGATGTCGACACCCTGGACACAAGAACAAAGGATTCAAGCTTGGCCGCAGGAAATCCAACGGGCGTGCGGCCTACTATTATATATATAATATTTTCACCGAACGAAGTAGGTTACGACTACCGCGTGGTTTGAGCGTATGATATGATCAAGACATCCTCCATTGCGGGCAGAGCTCTCCTCGCTGACAATTACATCGCCTTGGTTACAGACTACGCCGTGGTGCATGTTTGCATGAAAATGGATAGTCTATGCTGGTATTCTTGAAGATTCCCCTCATCTATGGTTGGTTGGCGGCTGGCGGCAGGTAAATGTACCCGTGTGCATTGCACGGGGCCCCCTTCGTCTCTTCCGGCAATCTTCGGAGATCTGGTCTGTCCAGCACCAGAAGGCGAGCTGCACACAACACCACACGGCATTCGGTAGCATGAAGCGTCTTGTTGTTATCGCGTTGCTGATTGCCAGAACATCGGAAGCATGCTCCGGTGCATCCATTCCCGCCTCGAGCCAGCGGGTTCCCCCGCGTACGGGGGGCAGCCTATTGTACTGGAAGTCATCGACCATTGCGACTACTGCTGCTGCTGCACGAGCGACAATGCCTGCGACATATGCCGCAATGCCTGCAACAGATACCGTCGCTCTCTCCTCGTCACGCCGCATGGCTTTCTCAAGAGTACTGCGAGGCGGAGGTGGCAGTAACAGCGACGGTAGCGGCAGGGAAAAGGAAGAAAAAGCATCTCCTCCGCAGAAGCAGGATGTTGCTGTGGAGCCAGCGTCTGCCAGCCAGCCCGGTAGAGATCCAGCGAAGGGTGCAGTCGGAGAGGGTCCAGAAACAGACAGCGCGACTGTCGAGCCTGCTGCTGCTGCTGCGGCGGCGGCAGTCAAGCAGGAGCCCAAAGGTGATGCCAAGGAACAAGCTCTACGCGAGGCTCTGCTGTCGGCAGATGGGCCCGCCAAGTGAGTCGGTTGTTGCCGTTTCGTCTCTCAGGCTCTGTCAGTTACATGCGGCAAGTCGTTGTGTAGAGCATTAAAAAGCCCAGAACACGGTTTTCTTCCCTTCGCCGTGAAGGCTTCAACACATCCCCTCCGACTGCTTGTAGTTAAATCTCGAACGGAAGGCCGTTCTGTACTTGCAGATACATCTTCTAACACGGTAGACTGCTCGCAGAGCTTACTTCAGACTTCAGGATTTCGTTTGAAACAAGCTTCCTGAAGACCCTCTGTCTACTACACGTGCGACCACAGCGGGCATTTTTTACGTGTCGTACCAAGCTCTGCACATCTTGCACAACGCGCGAAGCAGCACACAATAGTAGACCGCAAATGGCAATTCGCCTCAGGAACATGTTCGCACACACACACACACACACACACACACTATGCGGGAACTTTCAACCCGTCTAGATCTACCCTCCTTACTGCTGCTTTTTCGACGTATGGTGGTCTTGGCAAAGGCACCAATCGACTTATCGTAGCTATCGCCAACCACTTGGCATACGAAGCCTTTTGCAAAGGGAATTTCGCCGACGAAACAGCCTTGATTCGCCTGAAGGCTTTTCATACGAATAGGATTCGGAGACGATTTACTTTCGAGCTGGCTCGTTTCCTGTCCGTACGAACTCGTGATGTTTTTAAACGTCATGGACTGCTCATGGATCAATTTCCACCCCGGCCAATAGGTTGGGATTTCGATAGTAGTACAAACGAAAACGATCATCATGATGGCGATGAGGGAAATTCGAGTGGCAACGATGAAGGAGGAGGAACAGAGGGAACAAGAGGAGGACAAGACAGAGACCAAGACAGCAGTCGAGAAGGGAATCATGGCGTGGAAGAGAGCAAGAGCTTCGAGCCAGAGGACCTCCCGCACAACAAAAGACGGAGAGACAGACAAGAAGAAGAGCTGCCAAAAAGTTGCTGCCAAAATGACGATGAGAATAGTGATGGTAGTAGTGGTGAAAGCAAGAAGAATGATAGAGAGAGCACTCCTAAACGAAGTCGAGTGCAGGGTGACAGTCTTAGTAGACACGTGCAGTTTTCTTCTGTTATTACTACGGTATCTGTCTTTAATCCTGAGAATAGCGTAGCTCCCCCTACGACGCTCGGTCCCGGGGTCCCAGATAGTGGACTATAGAAACATTTTGTGTTTCCCGCCGCACTGAGACTGACGTCTTTTCATTGGTCAGCCGGTTAGCGCGGTCGATGCTAATAATAAAAGCACACACACACACACACGTCCTTGACTCCCATGCCCCTCTCCTCCTCACCCTCACCCCTAACTTGATGACCGTACGCTGCCACCTCTTCAGGATCCTGCGGGAGGTGGAGCGCATTCCCGCTCTCCGCCGGCTGTCCGACAGCGCCCTCCGGGTGACCTCCGCCACGCCGTCCGACGGGAGGCTGGCCGCGCTCGCGCTCTACCGCCTGGGCGCCGCGGCGCGCGCGGCGGAGTCCGCGCCTTCCTCCGGGCTCGCGTCTACGGCAGCTTCGGCCGTGGAAGGCAGCGTCGCGGCCGATGGAGAGAGAGCTGCGGTGGGACCGTCGAAGGCGGGAGGGAGAGGGAAACGAGGAGCAGTAGAGCGACCTGAGAGTGGTGGTGCTGAGGCCGAAAAACCTGCCGCGGCGACGGAATCGCGCGACCAGTCATCGACGGCGCCTACCGCCACTTTGTCTGCGGCTACGGTGCGGCAGGGCGGTGATCCGTTCAACAACGAACAAGGCCAGGCAGACACTGGAGCTACTACGGGCACAGGGATCGAAGTACCGGGGGTTATGGGCGATGATCCTCAAGAGCCGGGAGCTGCGGGTGAAAGTGTAAAGACGAAAGACGCTGCCCTCGCGGGGGGTGTTCCACGTTCTCCTGAGGGTGCGGGGGGGGTGGAGGAATTCGGCGCCCCGGCGGCGGCGGTTGGCAGCTCTCCACACAAGGGGACGACGACGGCAGCGTTCGACATGGAGGAAGTGAGGTCCGACCAGCGGTTTGAGCAGCTCGTGGAGATCATCGAGTGCGTGGCGAAGGATCTCTCGGTTTCAGACACTAGCAAGGCAAGGAACGACGCCGAAAGGAGGCCATACATCATTTTCGTCTTTTGAGTGTGCCGTGTCGTTAGCGTACTATTCCTTGGAGTTATTTGATGTGGATGTATCGGCGTTCACCAAACGGCCACGTTTCTTTTTCTTGTCAGCTTACAATTCCTTTGAGTCTTACTTGTGCGTATATCAGCGTTGTTCCAAGCGGCTACGTTTGCTCTCTCTCTCGCTCCCTCGCCTAGATTTGTTGCACACACCCATACTTTCGGCGAGCCGCCCTTCTGGGAAAGACAGCGAGGGAGAAAAATCGATGCACGCATTGTACCACGCTGTCACCGCGGTGCTGCGGCAGCACGATGATGACCCTACCGCCCACTGTTGTCATTCCTTCGGACAACACCGAGACGAAGCAGGCACGCACTCAGAAAGCACCGGACAAATCTTATTTTATTGAGCTCAGTATTGCACCCTCCCCCAGCCCCCAAGCTTCCGCTCCCTTTCGCGTTCACCTGTCGCTGCCGTTCCATCTGTCACCCTTTTCTGTTGGCCCGCTTCCGAACGTCGTCTTTGGTTTTGTACCCACGCTTTCCCTCTGCTTCTCTTTTTCCTCACCACGCCCACCCCCTTTCCGCGCGCGCCTCGCTTTCCTTTCTCCGTCGGTGCGCGTGTGTGCGTGTGTGTCCATGTCTAAACATTTTTGAAACGAATACACATGCACCAGGTTGTGTGGGGCCTTTCCATCCTCGGACACGTGCCGCGCAACAGCCTCCTCGAGTCGCTGGCCACGTTCCTTACGGACCGCCTTCGGCAAGAGGCCGCCGCCGCCGCCGCCGCCGCCGCCGCCGCCGCTTCCAGTGCCACCGGCGGTAACGGCGGGGATGCTCGCGATGATGAACATGGTGCCGACGGCGGAAAGGCGGCGGTTGGTGGGAGCACCGAAGACGGGATTTCAAGCCCCTCCACTGGCGATTCGCTGCAGGAAGGGGGCTTGGGGTCGGGGAGCGGGAAGCCTGCGGAGGGCCTTAACCGTGGTCAACTTTCCGGCATCGAGGGAGACAATGCCGGCGGCGGCGGCGGCGGCGGCGGCGGCGGCGGCGGCGGCGAGGGTGTTGACAAGGCGACGACGGGAGCTGCGAGCGCGAAGAAGCAGGACGCGGTGGCTTGCACGTCCGGGACGGATCTCGCGACTGCGGCGCTTTCCTTTGCGTACGCGCACGCCAGGTGAGGGATGACGGTGTTGGGCCTGCCGAGGGGGAGACGCGCCGGGAAAAAGGCAACGACAGCAGTGAGGGTAGGGACTGTGGGAGCGGTGGTTACCCCGTGGGATGATGCGAAAGTGGTGACCTATGTTGCAACGACAGGCGAGGTGGAGGGTGGGGTTGGGAGAACGCCACGCGGGGTGTGTGAGAAGAAGTAGAGGGCGATAGGTGGGCTGGAAGTTGAGCGTTTGAATAGCGCTCCAGTTTTTTCATGTTCCCCCCTTTGCCCTCGGCCTCTCGCTCGCGACGGGAGTTTTTTTCAAGGACGTGGGGCCTCTCGGCTTCTCGGCAAGAAAACACAAGTTTTTGTGGTGGGACCCCATGCCTTCATCGGAGACAAGCACCCCTCGCTTTGTCTCGCGTGCGGTTGTCGAAATTTCCAACAGGGGAGGCGTTTAGTCTCCGCCATTTCTGCTCGCGCACCGCATCATCTTCCACTCTGATGCTCAAGCTACTGCTGTCTTTTCCGTGTGCGCTTGTTTTGGGGGGGGGGTTCGTATCCTTGTTGTGGCTTTTTTTTTTCTCCCGCAGGCTGGACATCTCTACGGGGGAGCTGCTCGAGGTTATCGCCGCGTGCGCAACCCCTCAGCTGGCGGCGATGCCGCTGAGAGACCTCGCCAACCTGTCGTGGGCGTTCGCGGTGCAGCGTCGGCTTCACCCCGAGATGATGGCGGGCGTCGGTCGAGAGGTGAGCTCGCAGTGGTGGCTAGCTTTCTTCTCTAGGGAGGGGGTGGTGGTGATAGCAGCAGCAGTAGCGATGCCGGCGTCAAGCGTACCTCAGCAATGAATTAACTTTCATCAATGCGGGCAGTAGCGGTAGCTGTGCCGACATTTTCTTTCTCGTAAGAAAAACTTCCTTTTGTGCGGGCTTCGCGGAATATTGCTACGGTGAACTTGGGAATCAGTGTCAGGCTGAGTGACCGCGGAATATCAATCTGTGCGGCATTGGGTGAAGGTGGCTAGATAGACGACTTGGGGCTTCGCTACCGTCATGAAGAGAAATCACAACAGTGGCATCCATCACCGGCGCCCCCTGCAGTGCCTGTGATTCCATTTTATTTTTGGCTGTCGGTTGTATATTTCCACGTTTGGCCGATTTATCTTCTTTCTTTTTTTTTGCCTCCGGCCGGACATCCCCATCCACGCCGACGATCAACGCCGACAACACGAAAACATGTAGATTGTCTCCAGCCGGGCTTTCGGTCACATGGCGGCCAAGGACGCCTCCATACTGGCCTGGGCCTACGGGATGCTGGGCCTGCGGCCCTCCAGGGTGATCGAAGCCCTCACCCGCGAGGGCCTGGCGACGGTGCAGGAAGCCACACCGCACGACCTGTCGAACCTGGCGTGGGGGCTTGCGAAGGCGGGGGCGGGAGGCGGACGCAAGGAAGAAGAGGAGGTGGAAGGTGGGGGTTGAGATGATGCTGGTTTGCTCCATGAGCAAGAGGAATTAGTGCCGCCGAACGGCGCACGCTCTTGTTGTGCAAAACGGCTTTGGGGGGGGGGGGGGGG